ATACTTTGTTAGCCTTACGAGGCAAGATGTTTTAAGGCACTCGGTAAGTTATAGGCTATGCTCGGTGTATTTTTACGTGATGGAATCCGTAAGAAAACATCTACGTCCATTTAATTAGAACCAGAATTTTTGATATTTCCTAACGAAACAGTCAGCGGGAGGTACAATGGGCCAGACATATAACCAACAATAAATTAGAGACATTCAAGTAAAGAGTCTTTTCTAAAAGACGAGAAACACACTTGCAATTCCCCTGGTGTTGCAGATTTTCATTGGCGTTACGTGCGTTTGTTTGCCTACTCTTTTTATTAATAAGGAAAAAAATTAGGTAGAAGCTAGCATAGTATAGGGGTCCCCCCTACCCTGTTTTGTTGTCCTTGGATAAGAGTTTTGTTTAGCATATATTGTATGATATATATGTTCATGATCCTGATTATGAAGATATCTACTTCAAATAATATTCATTATCATCATCATTACAGCCCTTCAGAAGTCACTGTTGAACATAGGCCTCCCCCAAAAGAATGCCAAAAAGCACGGTCCTGAGCTACCTGCATCCATTTACTTCCTGCATCTCTTACCAGGTCGTCACTCCATCTAGTGGGTGGTCGCCTTAAAATTCGCCTACCGGTACGGGGCTGCCAATTGTAAATCGGTACCTTTTTTCCCCATCGGTTGTCGGTTCTTCGAGCTATATGGCCGGCCCATTGCCACTTCAGCTTATTAATCCTTTGGGCTATATCAGTCACTCTGGTTTTACTGCAGATATCCTCGTTTCTAGGTTTATCACGCAGGGGAATCCCAAGCATATCCCTCTCAATAGCTCGCTGAGCGACCATGACCGACCTTATACGGCCAGCAGTGTAGGATCACGTGATCGTGTAATCACTCAGTTCCATAAGTCATCACTGGCAGCACGCACTGGTTGTACAACTTGTTTTCAGGTTTTGAGGTATACCTGACGAGAAGATGTGTCGCAATTCTACGAACAAAGCCCAGCCGAGTTGAATCACTGGTGACTTACCTAGTCGCACTATTTATCCCAGGTAAACCTACTCGTCAACAACTTCGAACTTAGTGCTCCCAACAACTACCGGCAGATGTGAGACATGGACATTAAACATGATCTTTGTTCTGTCCACGTTCATCTTAAGAACTATCCGTTAGGAGGCTCTATTGAGCATAGTACTTAGGTCCTCCAGCGATTCTGCCATAAGGACTAGGGGTTTGTGTCTCCTTATTACCTTTTCTCTTGTTTCGCTTAATAAAGGGCAGAAAACTGAATTATAAAATTTATTTACATTCACTTATAGACCGAATTTCAGTCCTTTCTTTTCTGCACAGGATAAGATTATAGTGCACGAGTGTGTGCCGAAACACAGTTACACTCTCTATTCCCAATTTACACTTTCATAGTCGGATGGGACGGAAGTTCGACACTAACGGAGAGAGATCGGGTGCCCGATCAACTGCTTTACGTGTTTTGGGTAGACATCGTTTGTGACTCCAGGCTGCTACTGAAAATTTCTTTACAGAAAAATAAGACAACGGTCAGTTAATTTCAGTAAACATACATGCAAGCTAAGCTAATAAAAATATGAGACTAATTTGCACAAATAAAGCTAAAGGAAGTGGTGAAAAAAAAACAGGATTCAAAATAAGGTATTGTAAAGTACGAAAGAGAACGTTATAGAAAATGGTCGCAGACAAATATGTTTTTGTCAATAAACTGAAATCCAACCCTCAAATTGTTAAATAGACCGACCCCAGGAGCCCTTAATTTATTCTTTCATTGCGTCTTATTATTTGCAAATGGTCTATTTGTCGCGACTTAACCCTTGCGTTGCAGATGGGGCTCCATAGGCCCCGGATTACGCGCGCCCGCCTCAAACCATCAAACGACGTCATTTGCTCTAAACGTCCACAATTTATTGATAAGGACATTGACAGATATTGCACTAGATCTCGTAAAATGCAAGCGGCAGATTAAGGGTTGGCGGGTATTTGCAAATGGGACCGGTATTCGCAGGTCCTACTCATTACCGACGGGTTTGTGCGTTAAGTTGTTTTGAAATTTATGGTTTACACTTTTTATGCTCTTCATGTCTAAGTGTTTCATGTTTGAAATAATTGAAATAAAATTAGATAAAAACGACTTTATGTCCAATATTATATTGACCACTTTTGAATTTATTTGAATAATATTTGACTTTTTGGATACTGTCAAATATTTCAATAGCTGTACAGGACATTGTATAGTTCCAACCTTGCCAAGAGGTTCTCTTAAGAGTACGTGAACTGCTATTGTGAGTTGAGGAAGACTCGAATATCGTGTCAAAGAATTCGTTTATCATGGGACGGGACTGGGTTAGTTAGAAGAAATAGGTATTTGGCGATTATGCACATATTTGTGCCACTAAATAGATCCTGAACAGTGGTTAGCTTATTACATAAGGAATCAAGCAAAGTGATAGAAGTTTTCTTGACGAACTGTATTTACATTTTAATATATTAAAATGAATAGAGAAATTAAAATAAAAAATAGCAAATTTCTTAACATTTATTATACTCCAACTAACGATTCCAGGTATGTAACTATATGTAAGTTTAATTTTTTTGCGTCAGTAGTAATTCCAGACAGTAGTCGAATGATGAAAAGAATTCACGACTTTCAATCATTAGGCTATACTGTAGCTTTAGACTCGGTTTACATTTTAAGAAGTGACAAGTGCGAGTGGCAAGCGCAATTGAAAAATGACAAGTGCTTAGTGCGTTTGAACAGGCAGTGACATGTGATAAGTGTGAATAAAAATCTCACTAAGCACTTGTCATTTTTCAATTGCGCTTGCCACTCGCACTTGTCACTTCTCAAAACGTAAACCAGGCCTTAGTTATAAGAAATATTATTGTAGATACATAACGTCGTATTTAATTCACTATTTCGTTTGTGTATGTAAAGTACATCCATCCATTCCAGCCTATAAAAGCCTATTGCTGTACTTAAGCCTCCCTATATATTCTAAAGGGGAAATTTGCCAGAGTTGTCACCACTGGCAGGCGAGTTGGCAACCGCGTAACGACGGTGTAAGAATATCCACTACCCCAGATCGTGGGGATGAGTGTCATGAGGAAATTATAACAGTTGATGCGCAGCAGCACCTTCCTTAAACAAGCCGAAATAATAAACTTATAAAATAAATTTAAACACTACAAATAATGTACTATGTACCATGAAATATTTTCATGGAACTAATGGCGTCTTAATGAGAGACGAAGTTGTGAAAACCGCTCGGCGACGACGTGAACATATTAATTACCTTTCCTTACTTTAATGCACGTCGGCTATGATTAATGCACAGCTAAGAAATGAATACAGACTCTGTAAAGTGCACTGTTATGGTCATTAGTTGGGTGGTTAATATTTTTATTCGACAGATATCTATTTAAAAAGGTCACAAAAGAAATGCATAAAATGTTTAGTGGCTTAGTAAAGAATAATATTGTAAAGTAATAAAAGAGCAATATAGTCTGTAATTCTACTTTTATTTACTTTACAAGTTTATTACATTTCTGTTAGTTCTTAAAAATATTATATTTGGCATGTCGGAGATGATGATGATGAGTTTGAGATTGAAAAGGATGGACGGAATGGAAAATAATGACCTCAACAGAAAATCTTTGCAGTATAATATATCCTACATTAGTATAAAATAGAAACTCAATCCCATTTGTTAGGTCTTAAAAATGAATTAATATCAGTGCTTGAACGACTATTCCAGGATCTTAATTTGATACGCCTATAACTAATACTCGTAGTTTTAATAAAGTTTTTAAAATATTTTTATTTTATTTTATCGTTATTCAAATTTGCCCTTCTTCATTCGGTGGATCTTCTATCGAATACTGGATACATTCTTCTTCTTCTTCGTTAGACAAAAGAGAACTGTCTTGCTGAAGTTTATTCATTGCCGATGTGGGTATTTTAAGTCTGTCGTCATTTTTTTTCATATCGCCACTATATGGTAAATAATAGGTAGGTAGAAAATACACCGATATAGTTTATGGTAATATAGGCTATTTGTAGCTTAGAAATTACTTTAAATGGTGTATTTTTACCCGTACGGCATAGAGTAAAGGAGAATATGAAATAAATGTTGCATAAGTTTGTAATTTTGAGCCCATTATTATAATTTAGAGACCTGTGTAAAATATGAACTATTAATTCAACACGAAAATTTATTAATACCTTGTTTCTTAAGTTCTACTTCTAGTATTTTATCGTTAAGCATGTTTTCATACTTAGCAAATCCAATGTTTTACAACTACTTCCGAGAAGGGTAAAATTGTTCAACGCTACTATATTTTGTTAAGAAGGAAGCTAATGGAGCTTAAACGGGGATTTATTGATATTACAACAGTGCACAATAAATAATAACAAGGCGAAAGGGTCAAAAACGCCTTTCTATTTTCCATAATAATATGTAACTCAATGGACAAACGAAGGGGGTCGATTCACCCCCTTTTAGTGGAAAAATGTTAAATTTACCGTCGGATGGTCATTCGGGGTTTCTGTTGAGGACATTTCGATTTCTCCACTGCTTTTGTGTTTCCTCCGAACTGATTTCCTTACGAATTGCCTCTGTACCATTATAACATAATTCATAAGAATTAGCGGATCATATTTTTTAAAAGTTATAACACGAATTTTTGTGTTACCCAAAACAAACTCTCGATATCTGTGTGAGATTTTTCCGACTCAATGAAGCAGCAAGAAGCATGAATAAGGAGGCTGGTAGCAATGATAAATGAATCTGAAGATCGGGCTAAATGATGCACTATAGCAGAGGCTAAGGTTCGGATGCTGTTTAATGTTGATGATGACGATTTTTTTTGCATTCAGCGAAATAAAGTAGAAGTCAAAAAGAAATGAAGACAAGGATTTCACGGAACAATAAATTTATTATTCATATAAATAATATTAAAACGAATTACAACTACAGACTATGGACAAACATTACGCCAGCATCCTACCACCGGCCAATGGTTAATTACCTCGAAATAAGTGTACCACAATTCTTTTAGATTCTATTACTTGGACCATACACCAGATCAAGAGTTTCCTTCACTGGTCTGTTCAGCCATTTTCCGTGCAATAAAGCCGCGTTGAATCCGACACGCATTTCAAGGGTTAGGTGGCTGGAAGAAATGGGAATTTAATTTGGGACTGAGTTTTTTATTCTTTTCAGCTAACGATCAGACGGTCTGATGGGTGTTTAAAAGTTTATTTAAATAATTTACATGAAACCGGTAGGATTGATTGTAAAATAATTTAATTCTTGCCTGCATAAATTACCGTTACCATTACAGCCTATTAAGTCCACTGCTGAACATATACCTCCCCCATAGACTAAATTATAGGGGGGATAGTTGTCATAGATGCCACGTTTAGGAAGCGAGTTGGAAATCGCAGTTTTTACATTTTTGGTCGTTAGTAGGAAGACAGTGCTGCCCGAGTCCTGATTTGTTCCGTCTGACTACGACACCCACGTAGTGGATATTCCTATACCGCCACTACACTGTTTCATAAATCGTATTTATTAAATCGCGGAGGTATAATTATACGTTAATGGTCTAGTTACAAAACGTGGTTAATTGATAGTCTCGGATCTAAAGAAGAGTGTATCTCAACAAAAGAAGTTCCTAAGCCGCGGCGCCGCAGTCTTCGCGACATTTGCTATCAAATTCCATACTTTGAATTTTTAACCTCGACGAAAACAGAGGCATGTTGTAAGTTTGTAGTGTGTATCTGTGTGTCTGTCTGTGCCATCATAGTTCCTGAACGGATGAACTGATTTTGACCCCTCAGCCACCGAATCCCGAGCGGGCGGTAATGAAAAGTAGTCTCTAAATATAAGTTTTAAGGTTTAGAGTGGATTTATACATTTGAACGGTGTCCTTATCGATAATGTTCTTAGGTATGTTTCAAGATAATCTATTCCTTTTTTTATGGAAGAAAGATGACAAACGATGAGCACGCAGTCCACCTGATGGTAGGTAGATGCTGTGACCCATATACATCTACATTTATCATCGATTATGAAACAAAACGCAGATGCGTTGTCACACCTGAGGACTAAGATAGAATGCCTTGTTTCCAGTAAAAAAGGGTCTCCGGATCTCTACACTCACCATACGAAACACAACATAATTTAGCTGCTATATTACGCTGGTATTCTCTGAGAGCGTTGTCCTTCCCCGGTCAAGCTGACCCTCCGTGCTACAACCATAACATAACTGCAGCGTGGCTCCACCACGTCGTAGGCTTTTAAAATGTTTAATTCAATATTATAGTTCGTATATTTTCCACGTGGATTCAATATTGAAATTAACTATAGTTCAAACCTTAGACCAATTACTACTACTTTATATAAATAGATGATAAGTGTATAAAACCCAGTATTCAACCGGTTTACCGACTTGAAACAATTATCAAATGACAATAGGGCAACACAATCCATTAACACGTTCACTCGCAATTGTTTTGGGATAACAAAATTCAATCTGCATACTTAATGCCGACTTGATAGCCTTTTTGTTTAGTGGACAAGGGGACCAAGATGTCCATTGTCGGTCACTACAAGGTCCGGTTCTAAACAAATGGAATGAATAATTTAATGGATTACACATCTAGTTTAGATAATTGAAAATTTCTATTGAAGCTTGATTAAACGTGTAAAGGAGTTCAAATACTTCAAGTTGTAACATATTTTCCAAATAGACATCCAGTTACCTATGAAAGTTATGGTATATATAATGATATATATATATGATATAAAGGACTTAACATTCATTCAATTTTGACCGAAGTAACGATGGTCTGCTTAGCTTTGGTACGAATACTTTTGCAACTACCCTATTTACTTATGTGTAATATTTACTTAATAAGTTATTAAGCAAAAATTAGAAAATAACTTTTAGCGACCTATTATAATACTAGCTCACTACGCCAATCGGCTTAATGTTTTTTTTTATAATGTGTATTTTCTCTGTAAGTGATTTGTAAATCTTTTGAGAAAATAAATGTCTTAAACCATATAGTTAAACGGAATAAAACTCTTGTAGTAGATCAGGGACTGCGAGCATCTTAAATTTTATAAAAGGTAAGGAACGATTTCTTTAATTACGAAGTTAAAAAAAATGTATTAAGAAAATGTAGTATTGAAAAGAATTTTTAAAAATGCATACAATTTGTTGATGTATGGTGTCAAGAACGAAAAAGATACTCGTATACACGCATATGCACATATACAATACAGACGTATAATGTTGGAAGATGTCAATGAAGGAAGAGACGTGTGACTGTGTTTAGGTATGAAGAGTTTATTATCTCAAAAAAGAACAAATATTCACTTATATGAGACTCAAAAATAACATAATTGGTAAAAATAATACACGTAAATACGGTGACTTACATGAATAAAGTTACATAAATATATCAAAATTATGATTAAAAATCACTGTCCTAGCTTTTGGTAATTGCAGTTTATGTTTGTTTCGTGTACAGTGTTTATGTGATTTCGTTTTAAAACTAATTGAGTGTATATGGAATCTAAGAGAATTTTTCTGACTAGTATTTAAGTAGTGTTTAAGACTTTAATTATGCTACTCTTAATAACTACTGTTTACATAAATATGTATGTCGTGTAGACTGCTCTACATCACACCTCTCACCTACAAAAAAATAAAAAATAATAGAATATATTTTTTTTTGTACATAATATACTATTTCTATTCCAATGTAACAATTAACGATTCCTATCTAAAACACAAATTACTAGTAAATCAAGTTATTTTAAAACAGGCCTCATTCAGTTTATAATTTACATATAAGTCTACATATTGTTAAGTGCGCACATTTATTTGTCAAAATCAAGGATTATTACTTTACGTAATACATTGTCGAAAAATTACAATTTATTCGTACGATATCTTAGCTATTTAGTTAACTAGTCACTAAGTCACCCATCTTTTCATTTTATTACTTATCTAGTCCAGATATTTATAATGAATTATAACATTTTCATTCTCATATTTTTAAAAAATTCGTTTGTTTCATATATTTATTTCATTCTTGGTTATCATTATTTATTTTTCATTTTACTTTTCTGCATTTTAGCTATTCATCCCATATTTGTGTCATTTTTTTCACGTAAACGGCTCTGGTACATACATGATGAAGACAATGACCAATATTATTTCATTCACTTCTTTAAGTATATGGCATTTTAGCTCGTATAATTTGTTATTTCTTTTCGAGGATAAATGTATATTTTTATGGGCCATATAACCGTAAGTGGTTATGTGGCCCATAAAAATATACCGGTAGATTTAGTGCTCATATGTCACTTTTATTCTTAAAAAAACAGTTATATATAATTAAAACTTCAAAATTAATTTAAATAAGTGTCATTTATCATCTATATTAATTGTTATTTATTAATTTTATTTGCTAAAACATGGAAAGATAAGAATGGTACAAATATTAAATATAAAATAGTATGAAATTCCCATAAATAACTCTAAAAATAAAATATCTCTTATTAATTTATTAAAATTATGCTATTGTATTTCATTTATCATAAAATTTATTTCTATTGATGTAATGCAACAATTTTTTCCAAATAAATTATTGTTAGGAAATTTTACATCATTTGATATATTATGATATAAATGTATAAAATAAATAAGTAACAATTTATGTCGATTTCTGTCGCTGTTTTAGTGTAATTTTTTGCCCCTCAAAACTGAGGAGTTTCTGAATTCGTCTGTATATGGATATTTTATGTAACTGGGTGCATCTTCTTTTATTTACTCGTATTAACCACATACTCGTCGTCTAATATAAACACTAGAATGTGCCCAGAATTCCTTAGAAAGAAAAAAATTTAATTAACATTTGTTATTGATTTGCAGTCCTAAAAGTCCGATAACGATAACGGGTCCGATATTTTATCGAATGATGCCAAAAACTTTATGTTTTAGTAAATAAGAGATTAAGATTAATAAGTTTATTTGTTAGTATTTATCCTATTTAAGAATTTTGTTGTCCAGGGCGTTATAATCGCATCAGCGACAAAACTCTTTTTCTAAGAATAAAAAAAGATAAACACTATACGAAATATATATCTGCTATTTTACGCGGGTCTTCTATGAGCTGTTGCTTTAAATACCACTGCAGTGTAGCTCTACCACTAAGATTAATATGTCTGAGAAATTAAAAGTTTACTCAGACACCAAAAGCCGCCCAATCCTATCTGAAAAATACGGTTTATTCTTTCCTCTTTCTCAGGATTGATCTTCGCATGCAATATATATCACTTAACGTATTGTATAGGGGGTAAAGGGAGCTCTGTTTAAAACAGACAACCTTTTTTTTCATGGGAAAAAGCCAGCCAACTTCGTGGAGTTAAGAAAGTATTATGTCGGATTCGCACCAACCAAAACGCCAAGGTGTTCCAACCTCGTCGCATATTGACACGACCATGGAAACTGGTACACATCCACGGTTCCACCAGCGCCGGCCACCCCATGGCGGCCTTTACTCGGCAAAGGACTACTCCTCTCCAACTCCTTGACAGGTAAGGCGCACCACAACACATGGAGCGTCTTCTTCTGCAGTATCCAACTTCACCTGCGCAACGAACGCCCCCCGTGTCCAAAGCGCGAAGGTCATGAGTCTGGGAAAAACGAGGCTCAGAAGTAATAGCCTTCCCGACCCCAGCGGCGGATCTGGTTTATGACTCCGCCGCCAACTAAGATTCAGCTGCGGAGAGTAAGGAGAGCAGCGCCTCGTAATACCGACACTCCTATCCCCCTGCAGCCTCACTACCACCGCATCAACAGTGCGGCCCCGTCAGAGTCTCTGAAGATAGGGTGCCTCGCATCGCCATACCAGTATTCCTCTTCTTCCGCGACTCCACCTCGGCTACAGCGTTAGGGAGAGCGGGCACCCCTTTCACCGCAGCCCACCAACATACATCCGAAGTGG